GTAACTCGAAAACCGTATGGAATACAAAAAAACCGAGACCACCTCCAGTGTTGGGCTTTACATGCTCTACAAAATGCAAAAAAGAATGGGTCTCTAGCATTAACGGTTCCCGAATTAGAGACAGTTTTCAGTTTCGGTATCTTATGGCCGCTACTCCAGTGAAAATGCACCGATTGACCCCAAATTCATGGAGATGAAAGATGACCTGAAGGGTAACACTTTCCAATAATATTATGCGGAACGATCCGGACGGGACCGAAACCATGTGTACCGCCAGCGCTAACGCTGGTGGTACAATAATATTATTGGCTAAGTCTGTGTGGTGTCTGAATAACAGCGAAAATAATTTTTTTTCGTAAAAAAATGTTTTTTTGAAAATTTTGGCCCGTTTGGCCTTGAAATACAGGTCAAAGGTCAAATCATAGGGCATATTTGAAATCTACACATATGACTTTTGGAAAGCTATCTGTAGAAATTTTTCCCATAATTCCTTCTGTAGGGTAGATAATTAGCATTTAATTTTGCCATTTTTGGACAAGAGTGCATTACAATGAGTGCCACACCTGGACCCCAATACCGACAAAGCCCAAATTTTACGTGGAATGAGTTGAGATTATAGGTGACCTAAATCCAAGAGATGGGTATGGTGGCCCTTACCGTCTAGGAGGAGAAGCGATAACGGTAACTTGTAGGCGGAGCCGGCGGAACGATCTGGACGGGACTAAAACCATGTGTACCGCCAGCGCTAACGCTGGTGGTACAATTAAATACATTGCGGCTATTCAATTAAGTTCCATTACATCATTTCACCCAGAACCAAGCCTTTTTTCTAGGATTGGGATACAGGCTGTCCAAAATGGGGTGGGAGTGTGATAAAGTGAAAAAATATTTTATAAAATAATAAATTTCAATGGGAAGGGAAGGTTAATAACAATCGATAACGATCTGCCGCTGACACTCTTTTGCGAACCAATTCCCATGAATGAATATGAAAATTGCCCTTTCGTCTCGCTTAGATCAAGAACGATCTCCGGCTGACGATCTTCCGCAAACGGAAGCTATTAAACAGATATGAGAATTGCATTATCGTTTCGCTCGGATTGCGAACGATCTCCCGCTGACGATACAAGACTTGCGTTCTCGTCTTGCTCTTTGGCTAATGAAGTCTTTTTAGCAGATAAGAAAATTGCCTCCTCGTCTCTCTCAGATTGCAAACGATCTTGCACTGAAAATTTGAAAATTGCCTTTTTGTCTATCAGCTTTGCTAGGTGCCATATGTATGGAGGTCTGGAAGGTGTCCCCTTTCATAATTTAACAGTTTGTTTGTCATACGAATAATTAAAATGACTGCAATCTTATAACCCTACTGCGGTGTATCATGGTGTATGACTAGACAAATTATGAAAATTTATGCAGTTTTGATACATACACTATTTATTTCAAAATTGAAATTAAATACCTTGACAATGATGTAATTATAACTGTTAAATTTCTTGATTTTATAGTGCATCAAATTGAATAAACGCGAGTCGGGAAAGATAGTGCGTGATTTTTACTAGCGTGTTTCGCAACAGCAAAATGTTCGTCATTTAAAATGTAAAAAAAAGTATTATAAAAGGCGGGATTATTCAAGGACTTTCAGTTATTATCTTTTTCTTCGTGGTTATTCAACAGTATAAGGCAATTTGAGAGCATTTATCTCGAGAAATATGCGACGCGATCCGCGGGCTGCTATTGTTCTGACTCACAAAGGCCGGTATTTTCACCCCGCTCACCCCATCGGGTTTATCACCCTGTTTATCTAAATGAAAGTGCAGGAGTACTTTTCTATTGATGATGGTGTCCTGCTCACAGTGGGTGGCTAAAGGCGAGCTGAGTAAATTTAGGCCGAGTTAGAGTAGTATTTATCGCTGCTGGGTCCCAACGGCTTAAGGTTTAATTCCCTATAATTAACAAACCGATAATAGTCGTTTAACTACCATAAGGATTATAAACCAAGGCTATTAAAGTGTCCTCGAAATTAATCCTGTAACTGTATAATGGATCAGTGGAAAGTTTGGCTGTCAGAAACTCAGAATCTTCAGGAATTACAGTTACCCAGACACCATCCAGAATTTACATCCAAGTCCAGTGATGTGCAGATTCACACCTTTTGCGATGCTTCAGAGAGTGCATTCGGTGCAGTGTCATACTTAAGATACCAAGATGACAATGGAAAAATCCAGTGTTCATTCCTAGCTTCCAAGACTCGTGTAGCACCATTGAAATCACTCTCCATTCCCAGGTTGGAGCTACAAGGAGCAGTTCTAGCTTCGCGTTTGTCCCAGACACTTGAAAAAGAGCTCAAGCTAAATGTCACACACCAGGTCTATTGGACAGACTCAGAAGTTGTATTGAAGTACCTGCGTAATGAGACAAAAAGATTTAAGCCTTTTGTTGCCAATTGCATAGCTGAAATTATGGACGTCACATCCAAAGAAGATTGGCATCACGTATATTCAGAAAACAACCCTGCTGATAGATGTTCAAGAGGGATGAAAGCCTCAGCTCTGGTGTCAGATCAGTTGTGGTATAAAGGACCAACCTTTCTACATACAGTAATTCAGAAGGTGACTGGCCATCTTTAATTCAGCCAATGGAAATTGAAGAAGAAGACCCTAAGCTTAAGAAAACTTGCCTTACTATTCACAACACCATGACAAAGATCAGCCCATCATCCACTGATTATGACTATTCCAGTGTTGTTGATCCATCGACTTATTCCTCACTGCATCAGTTATGTACGAAGACTGCATAGATCCAAAGAGCGGTGAGAAGTTTTACGTCTGCCATTCTGAGATTCAAACAGAAAGCCTCGAGACAGAGCAGTTTAACTGCTGTGGAATATGCAGATTCACTTCTATATTGGGTACGTAAAGCTCAGTATACTTTTTTTCCAACCCAGATTGCATGTTTGAAAGCCAATCAGCCAACTGACAAGGGCAGCAAACTTTTGGCTTTAACACCATTCTATGATCACAGTATTGAGTATTTGAGAGTTGGAGGAAGGATATCTCATGCCAGCGTACCAGATGATGCCAAATTTCAGTTGATTTTACCTGCAGAGCATGCGATTACAGGCCTTATTGCCACAGAAGTTCATTGCCGCCTACACCATGGTGGGCAGGAGCACATGATAGCAGAATTGAGACAAAAGTATTCGCCCCTTAGAGCTCGCTGCGTGGTGAAACGTACAATACGTAAGTGTTTGATCTGTCAGAGACAAAGAATATTGCCCAAAGTGCCAATCATGGCAGATTTGCCTCAGTGCCGTCTGAATGTCAGTCATGGTCCCTTTGCATGCTGTGGTGTGGATTACTGGGGTCCAATGCTGGTGAAGGAAAGAAGGTGAACAGTAAAAAGATGGGGCTGTTTATTCACATGTTTGAGTACCCGTGCTGTACACTTAGAACTAGCAGATTCCTTGGAAACAGACGATTTTATACTGTGTCTAAGAAATTTCATAGGGAGACGAGGTCAACCCGCTGACATGTACAGTGACAATGGAACAAATTTTGTAGGAGCTGAGATTGAGTTATCACAGTGTTTAAAGGATCTGCAGCAGGACAAAATTAAGCATGCCTTGTACCCCCTGGGAATCAATTGGCATTTTAACCCCCCGGCGGCATCCCATTCATATAAAAATTGCAGTAAACTGTTTATTTTGTTTTATGTTAAAAAAGTGTTAAAAATTGAAATAAACCCATGTCAGAACAGTGCTGTCTTGTTTACATTTTGGCATTTTCAAGGTGTGACTTTGAAGTTCCATTGGCCTAAAGACCTTTGCTAGTCACGTTTTCTGAATGTCCATGTTACTATTATTTTATTATTAAAATTGATGGTCATTATGCTGTTAAACATTATGTAATGTTGCATCAAAATTTGAAGAAACCCATATTTTGGGCACTGCTCCCATGATGACCATTTAAGGAAAATCATGTCACTTACTGTTCTCAAACTTACAGAAAAGAAACATGGGACTAAAATACAGCTTCAGTAGGCAATGCAGTCTGTTTGGTAAATTTTTCTGGCAATTAAACAGTTTTTTGTGAAAATTTAATTTTTATATATTGGCATTTTCAAGGTGTGACTTAGAACCTCAACAGGCTTGAAGACCCATGCTAGTCACATTTTCTGAAAATCCATGATACGTATATTTTATTATTAAAAATTGATGGTCATTGTGCTGTTAAGCATTATGTAATGTTGCATCAAAATAGAAGAAAACAATTTTTGGTGCTGCTTCCATGATGACCATTATGGGAAAACCATGTTACTTATAAAATGCGGCCTGAGCTGGAAAAGCAGTCTAATTGGCTTCTTTTTCTGGAAGTTATACATTTTAGTGAAATATTCATTATAATCGTTTTGGCATATTCATTGTGGGACTCAGAGCTCCCATGGAGGCTGAATGGTAATCAAGTTTTCTACATTTCCATGCTATTTATAGTCAATTATTTATAGTCAAAAATTGGTGATAATCATTCTCTTTTTTATTACATAATGTTACATCAAAATATTATAATTATTTTTAACTTACAAGTATGATTTTTAGGATTGGCATGCAGTTCAAATTAGAAATCCAGCTCAATTGGGTTATCATTTATTATTGAATTTATGCAGTTTTGTGTGAAATTTTCATTTTTCTCATTCTGGCATTTTCAAAGTGTTAACTTGAACTCCCATCGGCCTGAAGCCTTATGCTTGTTACACATTTTACTTACATCAGTATTACCTGTTGAGCATAATTAAAATTTGATGCTGAATTTGCAATTAAGCATAATGTACTTTTGCATCAGAATTGACAGTAGCCTATTTTATGCATTGTTATTTTCAGCTTTTTGTCTGTACATTTGACAGCTTTGCTGCCTTGTTTATAATAAAATATTAGTATCAAGGATATTCAGAAAATGTGACTAGCAAAGGTCTTCAGGTCCATGGAACTTCAAAGTCACACCTTGAAAATGCCAAAATGTAAACAAGACAGCACTGTTCTGAAATGTCTTTTTTTTTTAACAATTTGTTAACATAAAACAAAATTAACAGTTTACTGCCATTTTTATATGATCAACTAGGAAAATTGATGAGATGTGAAAAATATCCATACAACAGTTTTAAATCTCCAATTACCTCCATTCAGGGATTCTGAACATAGTGAATGATTGAATCTGACAAACTGCAATGATATGAGTTTATTTCCATTTTTGAAACTTTATTACACAATACACAATAACAAGTTTACCATCATTTTTATCTTATCAACTAACAATGTTTTAAAGATGCAGGAAATGTCAAACAAACACTTTTACGTATCTTATTAGTTTTAACTAATAAGATACTTAAAAATAAGATATTTAAAAATAATGAAACTGTTAACATGCCTAAGAATTGAATCTGAGGAAATGTGAAAAAACAGCTTCTAAAATAAGGAAATGTGAAAAAACAACTTCTAAAATAAGGGCCCGATTATGCTGGTTTTCGAACTCAACCTGCATTTTAGTAAGATTGACCACTCCTGTGAGTTTAAGAACAATTGGCCTATCTGTTTTTCTTATATTGTGTTTACAGTGTTGCATATATGCTGAAAAGTGAAAAAACAGCATAACTACTTAAATAGTGGCCCAATCATGCCGATTTTCGAACTTGACCTGCGTTTTCGAAAGATTGATTATTCCTGTGAGTTTCATGACAACAGGCCTATATGTTTTCTTTGAAATGTGTTTACAGTGTTGCATATATGCTGAAAAGTAAAAAAACAGCATAACTTCTACAATAATGGCCCGATCGTGCTGATTTTCGAACTTGACATGCGTTTTATGAATATTCATCAACTCTGTACATATAAAGCCAAAAAGTAAAACTGTCTTCCACTTATCGTGTTTACGCTGAAAGTGCACGGCGACGACGGCGACAACAGACGCAAGTGATGGCAATATGTACAGACACACCTGTGTCTGTACATAAAACAAGGCAGCAAAGCTGTCAAATGTACAGACAAAAACAGGAAATAACTATGCACAAAATAGGCTACTGTCAATTCTGATGCAAAAGTACATTATGTTAAACTGCGAATTCAACATCAAATTTTAATTATGCTCAACGGGTAATACCAATGTAAGTACAAGACAGCACTGTTCTGACATGTTTTTTTCCATTTTTAACAATTTTTAACAAGACAGCACTGTTCTGACATGTTTTTTTCCATTTTTAACAATTTTTAACATAAAAAATTAACAGTTTACTGCCGTTTTTATATGATCAACTAAGAAAATTGATGAGATGGGAAAAATATCAATACAACAGTGTTAAATGTCCAATTTCCTCCATTCTGAGATTCTGAACATAGTGAATAATTGAATCGGAAAAACTGCAATGATATGAGTTTATTTCCATTTTTGAAAATTAATTACGCAATACACCATAACAAGTTTACCATCATTTTTACATAATCAACTAATAAAAAAAAATGTTGTAAAGATGCAGGAAAAGCCAAACAAAGACTTTTACAAATCTTATTAATTAAATAATGAAACTGTTAACATGCCTAGGAATTGAATCTGAAGAAATGTGAAAAAACGGCATTTCTTTAAAATAATGGCCCGATTATGCTGATTTTTTAACTCAACCTGCGTTTTAGCAGGAATGACCACTCCTGTGAGTTTAATTACAATTGGCCTATTATATCTGTTTTCTTATATTGTGTTTACAGTGTTGCATATATGCTGAAAAGTGGAAAAAAAAGCATAACTACTAAAATAGTGGCCCGATCATCCCGATTTTCTAACTTGACCTGCGTTTTAGTAAGATCAATTACTCCTGTGAGTTTTATGACAACAGGCCTATTGGTTTTCCTTGAAATGTGTTTACAGTGTTGCATATATACTGAAAAGTGAAAAAACAGCATACTTNAAATTAGAAAGCCAGCTCAATTGGGTTATCATTTATTATTGAATTTATGCATTTTTGTGTGAAATTTTCATTTTTCTCATTCTGGCATTTTCAAAGTGTGAACGTGAACTCCCATCGGCCTGAAGCCTTATGCTTGTTACACATTTTACTTACATCAGTATTACCTGTTGAGCATAATTAAAATTTGATTTTGAATTTGCAGTTAAGCATAATTAATGTACTTTTGCATCAGAATTGACAGTAGCCTATTTTGTGCATTGTTATTTTCTGCTTTTTGTCTGTACATTTGACAGCTTTGCTGTCTTGTTTTTAAAACAAGTTCACAAGTAATGTTTATATTCTAGGAATACACCCAGCTGTGTCATGCTGCAGACCAGACACAGACTAACACTCCCCTGGCTGCACAAGGTAAGATAAAACACAGGCAGTTAATCCAGAGGTGGGGTAGGGGAGAGGAGGAGGGGAAGGAAAGTCAGAGGCCCACAGATTCATAATTTATGCCTTTCAATTATCATGTAGAGGGTGAACAAAAAGGATGAACTTTACTGGTATCCCTGATGATACTCTGGGTCAGCCATTGTTCAGATCAAACCCTTTTCTTGTTTTCTTAGCATGCAAATTAGACAATAGACATTCATTCTTTAATGAAGTTTCTGTTCAATCTTTTGAATCAATTTGCTGTAATTTTTATGTGACGTCAAGATTTTGGTATCTTTGTAGCAAATTGAATATAACTCAAATTCTATGTATAATACCCAATTTATGATTTGTAACATTTTCACTTCACCGCTTACTTCTAATTTCCCCAGATATTTACAGCAGCCTGTAAGTCTTTTGCCCTACATGCTCATCTTACTAAGCTTTAAACTTTGCTTAAGAATAAAACAATCTATATTCCTCCAAACTAAATACTTGTATTTCTAGGGAAGCAGTGTATGGCATGGATAGACGGTGACAGGGGTTCTCTGGCCAAGAGTTGTGGATACAGGGTCACACTTTGCTCTCTCCTGCCACTGGCATGTACACCAAAGAACAACTTGCTTGTGGGGACCTGCAGATAGCATTGAAAACTATTAACTGTCTCTTGGCCACACTTGGTATCTTGGATGGTATTTGTCTTAGCCAAATTGAATGATAAATTTGACAAAATAAAAAACTAAAATGTATTTTAGCATTTGGCTATCATTGACTGTATTAGAGCAGACTCAGAACCTGAACCGAATCGGAATCAGAGTTTATTGTGTCATATTTCCACTGCTTTGCTGTGGCATCCTCACCACATCCTATGATGCATCAAAATGGAGACCTTTGTTACATGTATGCAAAAAAAAAAACAGATTGGATATAAACAAGGACTTTGTTAGAAGGAAGATGGACATGTGTTATAATCATTTTATTATTATACAGCTTTAAGCAGTCAATCTACAATGATTGCAAGTTCTTTAATCCAGTAACTTGTACTCAGTCATAAGAGTTCAATATGTAAATTGATAATGATATAGGAGTAAAGAACATGAACATTATATGCAGTGTTAGCTAGGTTGTTGTTTATTAATTACTCTACACCATCCCATGACACTTTGGCCCATCGTGTATATGTCAAAGGCCCAGACCAAATCTAGTCCTATGCATAAAAAGCCCAGGCCTCGTGTTAATTACGCCCTGGCTGGGCCCATTCTTTATGGTGTCTTTGAATTGTTAACAGCACAATCGGCAAGTTAATTGGCCAAGCTGCCAGTTTGTTTGTATGGCATGTGCAGGGGATGTCTTAGATCGAGGTACATATTATGATACTTACTCGTGTGGCAAATGAGATTTGTAAACTACGTCTGAGGATGATACTTATAAAGATGTTTAATGTTTAAAGAAAAGATCATGTAGATTGATTTAGTAACATATACTAAAGAAATGTTAAATTAAAGGTGGGCTTCATTTGTTAGTGTGTTATTTTAATTATCTAGATTTTATGCAAATTATGGGAAAAAGTTTGCCCTTTAATGTTTTGTTGACCTTTTGGGAAATCCCTGCATTTTCTTAAGGATAAATTACAAAGAAAAGTGTGGATTAATAGCAAATGTTTGCCACGGCTATAAAAAAAACTCCCTAAAGTTATAATATATTTTTATTTACATCATAATCTATGCCAGTTTAGAACACTGATAAAGTCGATTCATAAGGGTACAATTTTAAAAAAACTGAAAACAATTCCAATGAAAGTATAACAGTTCATGGAGTCTACAAATTTGAAGTATTACAGATATACGGTAATGACTCGATTATGTCAACCGGGAAAAGTATCAACTTTCAAATACATAATTTGGGAATCATAAAAATAACTTTGTGTAGCATTTTGGTGCTTTTACTGTGTAGAATAAAACTAAAAGTTCGTCTGCTTCTCAATTGTGTCGGTGCCACTAAATGGGAATGTTCTTATGTTAAGAATTGATAACTTAAATAATACAGTATCTGTAAAATCCACAATTTCCCCTGTTGATATGATTGAGCCATTACTGTATGTCGCACGGTAAATGAAAACACCTGAATGACGTCATTACATATGCGAAAAAGAGGCAGGGAATTCCCCAACACAAAATTCCTCAACCCTGTTCATAACACCTGTTGGGCCAGACATTGCATCACTTGCAGCGATCCTGACTTTTTCTGCAAAAAAGGTAAGTTTTAAAACATCATCGGTATTGGCAACCATATCAGTACTTTCTCGCTAAGGTATGCTAAAATTTTAATAAATTTGAGCAGTAATTTCTCAGTTGCTAATGTAAATACTTGTAGCTTACAGCTATGCCGCTACTGTTATGATGCCGGTAGCGTTAATCAGCTGATGGGATAGTGCCTCCGGGAAATGTTTTCACAGATACCGGTATGTTTAATTGTTATCCAGCCAGGTATTCAAGATAACCTAACGTAGCTGCCCTAGCTAGCTGGTGTGTAGATTTTCGCTCGTGCACAAAAAGAAATAGCATAGCTACACAATAATTGAAAGCGAAAATATTTGCCTGCAAAAGTTTACCGATCGGTGAAATTGCTAGGGAGAGATTTCACCAAAAGTGATATTGCTTCAAGCTGTAAGGTTGGGACTGCATGATAAAGAAAATCTTTTCGGGACTATTTTCCATAGTCAATCTCGTAACGATGACTCATAGAAGCATTTTGGACACCTTTGGCATTGAACTTCTGTAGCACTTTAAAAACAAATAAACTTTCTTCATTACAATTTACAATTATCGAGATGATTTTTTGAAGATTTTGTGGATATTAAAAGATCAATTCCTCGTCTAATTAAAACTGGGGTTTCAGTAACTTTTTTTGGTTTCTGGAATATGCAAGCCCCCAAAACGACACATTTACATTGTAAAGGTAAGGGCCAAAGGAATTTGTTTGAATCACCCCACTTGCTAGCTGTGCGATTTGTCAACCAGTTATTGGCTGTTTCGAGACAAAGGTAAGAGCGGGTCAAAGTATTAATTCAAATGCTAATCTTAGCAGATCAATAGTAGGCTGCCTATAATATGCACTCGGAGTCTGCAATGGTTACTTGTTTACCATGCAATTGGGAGAAAAGTGAACGCGCTATTTGGTGATAGGTCTAAATAACGTTTTTTTATCATCATTTTTTATTGTTAATATTCATATACTATTCATTGATTTTCGTTATTGGTATCTACGGTTTACAAGGTTTAATTTTTTTTCATAGAAGAAACAGAAGTTTGAGATTACAACCACACAAAGGATCAATATCCCATAAAATAAAATTAATGATTTGGTGACCCGTCCACTCTGATCATGCAAAACAAAATCTAAATAGTTTGTTATCCCTTTACATATGCCATCTTTTCAGATGGCCACAAGTGAAAGGTGAATGAAGCAATACCTTAGTAAAATTTCCTCTGTGTGTCATTGTTTATAATATAAATTATATTATATAAATTATATAAATTTCATTTGATTAATCCGTATTGCCACAGAAGCTTGTAGTCCATAGGTCAAGAAACTAAACTGTAACTTCAACCCTCCAGATAAGAAATTATAACAGACTGTAAATCAGCTATGATAATGAACCATTGCAGCGTTAATAGACCAGTCGACAATGGCGGATCTGTTGTCCAACTTTCGAGAAAGTAAACTAAATTCGATGTAAATTCAACTCTTTAGATAAGCCAACAGACAGTAGGCCTATATCTGCAAGTGCCCCTCCTGTAGCTTCCAAATTAGGCATTCTCTTCTGCCTCGAGCTCCTTAAAACAGAATAACCATCAAAAAAGGACGAAAGCAGGCAATTTTCCATCTTAGTCTTAGTATTGTAGTAAAATTGTAGTCTGTGGTTTTGTACTCCTATCGTTTCGCTCTGCGCGTTTTTATCCTTTTGCCCTTTCCAGACCGATGCATGGAACAACTGCATGTAGGACCTAGCTAGTATGCGAGGAGGGATTAAAAATTAATTTAGAATCAAGATATGTTGCTCTTATTACAGGCATAATTGTATTGAAGGAAACCAGGGGTGTCAGAATTAATGCTCACGGCAAGAAATCTTCCATCAGGTTTCTTATAGTAAATCGATTCTGTTTTAGGTTAAATGATTATTCCTGTTTCTCACGTTTATTAGTAATATATTCCATTAAACTATTTATTTCTGTGTACAGAATATTGTTTTTATGTACATATAGCCATCATCTGCGTCTGTCGTCGCCGTCGTCGCTGTCGTCGCCGTCGTCGCCGTCGCCGTCGCCGTGCACTTTTACCGATAACACGATAAGTGGAAAACCATTTTACCTTTTGACTTGAAACTTGCAGAACTGATGAATATTCATAATACGCAGGTCAATTTCGAAAATCAGCATGATCGGGTCACTTTTAGGGAATTTATGCTGTTTTTT